GTGTTCTCTTCAGCTTTTCCTTTCTCTTTATGCTTCTGAGACTGGAAGAAGAGACGCTGAAAAACTCTCCTTGTGCTTTCGTGAAGAGTCCTTGGTATCTTTCTTTAAAGTTTAAAGATAAGATTAAAAAGTCTCCAACTTGATACTTGTAATCCTAGCTACTCAGGAGGCTGAGATCTGAGGATTGAAGATCAAGACCAGCCTGGGCAGGAGAGTCTCCAGGCTTCAGGTCTGTAATTTCAGAAGACTCTGTAGGGAAAGGTCGCCTGACCCAATGAGAGAAAATCCATCCTCCCCTTGAAACCCGGGAATGAATTCCTTCACAGCAAGCTGCGGCTTTTCAGAGCACTGACATCCTTGATTTCTGCACACGTCATGGCTTCTACATCTTTTTTGATGGTGGTGGTGGTCGTGGGGCTTGAACTCTGGGCCTGGGCACTGTCCCTGAGCTCTTCAGCTCAAGGCTAGCGTTCTACCACTTTAAGCCACAGCGCCACTTGCAGTTTTCTGGTGATTAATTGGAGATAAGAGTCTCGTGGATTTTCCTGCCTGGGCTGGCTTTGAACCAAGATCCTCAGAGCTCAGCCTCCTGAGTAGCTAGGATTGCAGGTGTGAGCCACCAATGCCCAGCGGCTTCTACATTTCTTGATTTGAAGTTAAAGCATATCTGAAGACCCAAATGTTCTAAATGAGTGAATCCCTTTGTTCGTGTTTTTGGACTTTTGTTTTCTAGTCCTGGGGTCTTGAACTCTGGGCCTGGGCGCTATCCCTAGGTTCCTTTTGCTCAAGGTTAGCGCTCTACCACTTAAGCCCCTGTGCTACTTCTGGCTTTTTCTGTGATTACTTGGAGGTAAGAGTCTCATGGACTTTCCTGTCTGGCTTCAAACCAGACGACCTGATCCTCGGATCTCAGCCTCCTGAGTAGCTTGGACTATAGGTAGAAGCCACTGGCGCCAGGCTCATCCAGTTATTTTTAATGGTGTTCCTCTATTAGCTTGGGACTGGAATTCTCCATGTTCTTTTCCCACTCAGGAGTCTGTCTCCAGAAAAGGGAGAGAGTGGCCATATCTCCTCCACATCCCTGAGTCCCCTTTTCCCCTGCTCTGGGCAGCTGCTCGGCTTGTAGTTCTGTTACCCCCCTGGCCAACCTTGCAGGCGTCCAGGGTGAAGCCATCTTGGGCCATTTGTAGACCCAGCAGTTTTTTTGTCATGTCATCTGAATCCTTTGCTGTGATGTCAGTGGCTGGCGGGCACGGTGTGCTTTTACTGTGATGTCAGTGGCTGGCGGGCACGGTGTGCTTTTGCTGTGATGTCAGTGGCTGGCGGGCACGGTGTGCTTTTGGAGATGGCTATTACCCTTCTTTGTCATATTCCTTGTGTCCCCTACGTTCAAATTTGTGCCTATGGTTCATCAGTTGTCTGTGCTGGGTTTTCTCATGAGGATGTGACTCAGGCTGTAGATCTGGTAGACTACATTGGCTTTATGCCCCGTTGGGTGCCATTGTACAGTCTCCCTAGAGCTTCTTTAGCTGTGATGGTTTGGGGCGCGGTGGGTACAAGAAATGTCAGGATCATAAAGTCCCGTATATCTCTGTAGGCCATGCGGGATGAGGCCCTCTAGTGGCCCAGTTGGGTATAACGCACAGAGCATTAGGATCACCCCAGCAATAGGAGTTAGGACTCCAGAGACCTGAAGCGGGGTGGACAATTTCTCAGGCATTGCACACTGTGTGTGTGTGTGTGTGTGTGTGTGTGTGTGTGTGTGTGTGTGTGTGTGTGTGTGTGTGTGTGTGCGCGTGTGTGTGTGCGCACGCGTGCGCACAGGCGGATAGGGGGAGGGGAGGGGGGATGTCTACTGACAACAGTAGGACTAGAGTTACAGGGTGTGTGGGCTATGTCCCCAAGACCCAGCGCTGGTGGCAATGGCTTTCAGTAATGGCATCTGAGGCCCAGCAGGGTTGACCACACAGGGAGTCCTCCTCAGAGAAGGGCCAGCTGGGCAAGGGCTGCTAGCAGCAGGGCCCCCTCAGCTGCAGGGTGGGGGGGACTGTTGTACTATGCTAAGCACCTCTTTAGGCTTGGGGGGGGGGGCACAGGGCAAGCATAGTTGTTTCCTTAGACTCGGGGTGGTGTTTGTCCACAGTGGTCGGGAATGCTGACAACAGGTCAGGTCATGTGACCGCGGATTGAGGTCCTCAGGAATATGGCACCCCAATCCACTCTTGCAAGGACAGTCCTGGCGACTCATCTAGAACAGCCCTGCCCTTTGCATGGGCTGAGAAGGCCACTAGACTTGCATAAGCCCCACAGCATTTAGAATCCAGCACCTTGACTTTAGAACCCAGCAGCAATGAAGCACACAGAAAGAGATAATTATTGTGTGGTGGAGGAGACAGTAGGATGCGTTCTTTCCTCTAAAACGCTGTTTAAGCCAGGCGCTGTTGGCTCACGCCTGTAATCCTAGCTACTCAGGAGACTGAAATCTGAGGATCTCAGTTAGATCTAGTTAGAGGCCAGCCTGGGCAGGAAAGTCCTTGAGACTCTTATCTCCAATTAGCTACTAGAAAACGGGTGCTGTGGCTCAAAATGCCAGTCTTGAGCACAGGAGCTCAGGGTCAGGCTCCAGGCTCTGGGTTCAAGCCCCATGAGGGAAAAAAAAAAAAACAAAACTGTTGTTTCAATGAGCCTGGTTTGAGGAGCCATTCACAGGTGCATCAGGAGAGCAGTTCTGAGCAGGCTGCAAGGATGGAGGTGTGCTTTCTCCCTCATTATCTTAAATGCCTGGAGCAGTCTCTCTCCAGACAGAGCTCCAGGGGCTATGTGGGAGCCAGGAGCCCAAGAGGGAGCTTGGCCCTGGTTTCTGGCAGGCCCAGCGACAAGTAGGGACAGATAAAAAACAAGATGACCTCAGCCACCAAGATAGAACCAATCAGCCAGGCAGGAAGGCATTTAACTGAAGGCACCTGGTTTATCTTAATCCTCGAGCCCTGATCTAGAAAACCTGGCTGCCCTGGGAGGGTCAGAGGGAGCCCAGGCAGCTGGAACACAGGAGGTCCGCTGGCTACGTCAGCCTGCGCAGGGCAGAGGCTGGCCTTCTGCCCTCCCTGGAGTCTGGGGGGGCCGGCCATGGGTCAGGGGGCTGTCCCCCGTGGACACTGGTAGATGACTCTGGGCAAGTTACTATCTTCCTGCCCGTGGGCAGCAAGGATGGAAAAGGGAGAGCCAGCAGCACAGGGTGAAGAGGAAATGAACGCAGCAGCCCAGTTTCCTTGCCTGCGAGGTCCACGCCTCGTGCGGGACTTTTAAGGAAGAATCACTCTCCAGCCGCAGGTCGCCACTGGGTCACGCAGAAGGTTGAATGGTATCCGTCTGTGTAGGCTCTGGGGCGGGGGCTCAGACAAGATGGGAGTGTGTAGATCAAGATGATGGGGTGCCTGCCGCCTCCCCCGGCCCCTCCTCTCCACACAACCCCCACCGCCCAGCCCTCAGCAGGCTGGATTAGAGAGGCCAGCGCCATGTTCCGCGGGACGGAATCCCATGAGGGCCGGGCCCCAGCAGCTCCACAGCTCCCTCCAAGGTGAGGGCTATGACCACCCCTGACCACCCCTGACCATCCCTAACCACCCCTGACCACTCCTGACCACCCCTGACTACCCCTAACCACCCCTGACCACTCCTGACCACCCCTGACCACTCCTGACCACCCTGACCATCCCTGACCACTCCTGACCACTCCTGAGTGGTCCTTAAGCTTCCAGGGCCGCAGGATTTGCCTGCCCGCTGTGGCCACTCCCCCAGTCCAGCCTTTCCAGACTCCAGCCCTGCACCCCATAATTCCCTCGGGGGGTGGGGGGGTCGCTTAGATAGCGCGGGTCAGTAGTGATCTGCGGGGCACGGTGTGCTGACTTTGGGGTCCCAGGCTCACTTCTGAGCAGAAGCGGCCTGCACCCCGCAGCGGCGATGACAACTGTGACACTGCAGGAAGTTTTCCTCACGAAGCCCCCTGGGAGGGTGTCCCTGCCAAGAGCCACCCCAGACTCGGGGCCTTTCTGTTGTTGGTGCCCCAAACCATCTTCCGTGTGATGAGGCCGCCTCTGGGGGGTCCCCGGGGACCAGGTTGAGGGGGGCCTGGCTAGCCCTCTCTCACGGGGGCCTCCAAGGCCACAGCCGTAAGGACCCCCGGACCGCGAGGTGAGAGCAGCCACGTAGGATGGGCCGAATGGCAGAGCCTACTGGGGAAACTGAGGCTCCCTGAGGACCGAGGCGGCAGCCAGGGGGGCTGAGGTCTCCCAGCTCCAGGGGTCTCTCTCCAAGTGGCCGTACAGCACGGGCTGAGGCAGGGAAACCAGCAGAGCCATTGTAAACTTGGGCCCTGTCAGATCCCCCCTCGCCCCGGCTCCAGGGCCACTGTGGCTGACACGGAGGGCGTGCAGGGAGGACGCGGTCACGCGGGCGTGGGAGCCAGGGGACGCCTGCTTGTCCGGTGGCTGGCTGACGCGTCCTCTTCTGTTTTCTGGAAAGTCTGTTTTCTTTCTTTCCTGTGATGTCAGGACTTCACAGCTGTCCAGGGACCGCCTGTTCCTCAGCATCTAACACTGGCCACCCCCTCCTTCTCGTTCGGTGTCACCAGGTTGTACTTCCTCTAAAAAGTTCCAGTCTTTATGCTTGGTTTCTGTTGTTTCCCTATTCCCGGGGCTTGAACTCAGGGCCTGAGTGCTGTCCCTGAGCTGCTTTAGCTCAGGGCTGGCCTTTAACACTTGAGCCACAGTGCTACACCCCCACTTCCACTTTTTTTTGGTGAATAAGTGGAGAGAAGAGTCTCACAGGCTTTCCTGCCCAGGCTGGCCTCAAACTGTGATCCTCTGATCTCAGCCTCCTGAGTAGCTAGAATTACAGGCATGAGGCACAAGTGCCCGGTTCCTTTGGGGGTTTCTTGAGGGACAGAGCCAACCCCGAGGGGCCAAACCGAGAGCACACAGTGAAAATAACCAAACAGTGGAGACTGCCCTTCGGGTGCCACTTTTATTGAGGGAAAAAAACTCGCTTCACGCAGGAACTCGCATGGAGGTGGCCACAGGAAGGGTTTCTCATCCCTGTGACACTGCACCCCCCCCAACCCGGAAGCAGAACTCAATGAATGAATGAGGCAATCAGAGGGTAGAGCGACACTCCGATGCAGGGCAGAGATAGGAAAGACAAGACAGTGATTGTCTCCTCAGCATTGCATTTGGCCACATTTGCTTTTTACATACAATATTCATTTCTTTTTTAAAGCTAGCTAAAGAAAATACACTTGAGTGAGGTTAGTTCTTAAAGCAATCAGCAGAAAAATACATGTGTGATATATAATGAACTCAAATGGTGGCTCGCTGGGCGTGGGAAGGGCTGGGCACACGGGAGGAGAGGCAGAGTTTGAAGGCATCTCTGTAAATTCCGGCGGGCTGCGCCGTGGGCATCTGGCTCCCGCACTATGAGCCTATTGCGGCCCAGGAGGGCGCAGTCATTCACACTGTCAGCATGTCTCTGGGGTAACACTGCAAGTGTCCCTCCCTCCGTGCTGGCCAGGAGTGAACAGGAGGAGGCGCTGCGCTGCGCTTCCTGGCCGGGCCCATGGGCTGCGCCCCGTCTCCACTCACAGCTCTAGCTGGGAGCCCTCAGGGAAACCAGTGCATTGTGGGTTCCAGGGACCGAGCCCACCAATCACAGGCTTGTTGCGTCCCCCTCCCCATGAGGCCAGAGGGCTCCCAGGCTGGGGGAGGGAGGGGTGTGGGGCGCTTGTGCCGGTCCTGCTAGGTGCCAGGGACCGCGCTCGACACCCCCGGGGCCTGATGCATATTTACTAAGTGTGCGAATGGCTGAAAGGAGCGAGGGCTCCACACCCAGCGAGAAAGCACAGGCCAGGGCAACCCCATGGGTGACCCCATGGGTGACGGGGCCCAGGCAGATGTGGAAAGCTCTGGGTGTCTGGGAGCAGATCTCCGCCTTCAGCTGCGCTGACTACTCTGCATCTTGGTGGGTGAGCTCCGTGCCCGGGAGCCCGTGCCGGCGTGCCTGCGGCGCTAACCATCAACCCGCCCTGTGCACAGACTCCTCTCCCCTGCCCCATGGGCATGCTCAGAGACTGGGTTCAGGGGTCACCAGCACCCTTCCACACCCCCACAACCCACTGCCATCACACCTCTACCCTTGATCGCTCCCATGCCCTGTCACCTCCTGAAATTGGAAGGAACCTCCAATTTGCACACTCCCACCCCCAAAAAAGTTTCTTCCCTCCAGGGCATCAGTGTGAGCTCATCTCTCTTCTTCACATCCCCCCAGCTTTCAAGAACTTCCTGTCATCTTTCTTGTACCAGTGACACAACCCCCAACACACACACACACACACACACCTACCTACCTACCCCTCCTCCCCCAATTCCAGGCCTAGGAGCAGAGGTGGAGGTGGTCCATGGGAGGAGGCAGGAAAAGGCCACGAGACATGTTAAGATCGTTGGAAGTTACGCTCACGTCTCCCTTTCTCCGCCTGCGTGTGAGCAAGGAGTGATCGGGGCCTGGTCTTGAGCACGGGTCAGAAATGCTAATCCCAGATGGGATAGCCACGTGGCCACCCCCCGCCCACAGGCTGCTGACTCCCCAGGCCATCTGACTGCGATGTGCACCGTCACCATTACAGCTGCTGCGTTCCAACTCTGACTTCCAAAATGGTCTTTCTATTCTCCTTTTTCTTCTGCTTGTGTTTAATACTTAGTAGTTTCATATTTTTAGGGAAAAGGATGATCAGTGTTGATGTGTGCGTTTGACAAGCCACACTACAAAGGCTCTGGAACATTCCACATGGAACAGCAGTGGTCTGTGAGGAGGTGCAGCGCCCCCGCCCTGCGCCAGGGCTCTTTGCCCATCGCTGGCATTTTGGTGGATGGGAGGGAGGGCGCAGGAGACAGAGCATGCCAGGGGTTCCTGGCAGACCACTGTGCCCAACAGGGGCTTTGTCTTACCAAACTATTTTCAACTGCCTGGCCGGCAGTGGCTGTCACAGCTCCCGGGGGACCGTGGGAGGCGCCGGCAGTGGAGGGAGGGGGCAGGCGGCCGAGGGTCCCCGCTCTAGCTGTTCCCTTTGGGCGGCTGCAGCGTCTTGTGAGAGGCCCTGGGGCCACTCCAGCAGCCCGGAAGCGGACTCAGATCTGGCTGACGAGGGCGCTGTCCCTGGGGAAGGCGTAGCTCAGTGGCGCCTCATAGAGGCTCCCCCCATCGGCGCTCAGATCGTCGTCGTCGTCGTCCATGTCATCTAGCACTTTGCTTGGTAGCTTCTTCATTCTGTGGGGGCAAAAGAGGGCTTGGAGCTGGGCTCTGAGGGGTGGTGTCTTCACCCCTTTGAGTACACAGAGGCCCGGGTCTACAGCAAGTGGCACCAGATGCCAAACTAGCCTCCTCTCAGCACCAGACACTCCGTGGGTGCGGTGGGAGAGGGCTGGCATTGCTGAGCTCTCCTTCTGTCTACACTCAAATGCGACCTGGCAGGGACTGGTACTTCATATGAAACTCACCAGAGCTTGTACTGTCTATTGTTCTTAAGGTAAACAGTAGGTTTTATTTGAAAGTGCAGGGAAAGCCGTGAAAGAAGTAGGGGAACTCTCCCTCAGGAGAAGGGTCTAAAGAGGAGTCCCGCGCATCCTCCCACAGCTCCCACAGCTGCGTGGCTGGCGCACGGACCTCCCCTGGCTCTTTTCTTTGGTTGAGTGGGGACCCAGGGCATTATGGGAACAAGAAACACCATGACAGGACACACGTCGTCATTAGCCACACTCGTGTTAGGTTCGCCGCTTTTTATCCCTATTTAACAGTCCTTCTTTCAAAACTCTCTCCCTCTCTCCTCTCTCTCTCTGTCTCTCTCTCTGGTGGAAACCCTGCCATTAGGGAGCAGGGGCAATGATCACCCCAGCATTATCGATTCTGGTTACTGGGACTCTGGGTATTCACCTCAGCATTACACCCTACTGCCGGCCTCGGGGCCAGGATAAGTTCTCAATGAGCCGCAGCTTCTGTCCAGTCAGGAGAATGACCCAGACTCACCCGCACCTCTGTCCCCTGCGCCTCACTCGAAAGGCAGAGAGGCCCTTCTCCCCAGCTTGGTTTTGGAATATTCTAGTCCTCATGATCTTAATGAAAATTTGACACCCTCAGTCAAATGCAAGTAGACTTGTCTACACCAGTCGCTCCATAGTGGTGACCTGCTCTGAGCCTCAGTTTACCCAAATGGTCAACAGCAGCTATCGCTGCCCAGGTGTCACAGGAGCACTACGGAATGGGCTTGAACCAGCAGGACCTCTCAGATACGGGGGGCGGGGAGGAGGGAAGGCCAGGACTGGCCATCTTCGCCCACCTCAGGTCCTTCTTCATGGAGTTGAGCTGCCCCTGCAGGTGCTCATTCACGTCCAGCTGCTCCTCCAGCTCCCTCTGCAGCTTCTTCTTAGAACTTTCCAGTCTGTCGATTTCCTCCTCCGCCTCCTCCACCTGGCGCTTCATGGCTTTCAAGCGCAAGCTCAGCTGCAGGGGAGAGGGGCAGGCTGGGTACTGGTGGAAGGCTTGCCATTGCCAGGCCGCCATGGAGAGAGGGCATGCCGAGGCCCGGGCCCGCGGCTCCCCAGGCACTCGGAGTGAGAGCATCCTTTTGGAAAGCCAAGCTCGGGGGCTGCCATTTGCTAAAACCCCAGCTCCCGTCCTGGAATGTAGGGGTGAGTGGAAAGGGGGAGAGCGGCCCACGCCAACTCCATGCATGGGCGGCGAGCCTGCCTTCCTGCTGCCTCACCCTAGCGTAAAAACAGAGGCGCCTCACCTGGTCCTTCTGGTCTGTCAGCGACAGGTGCTCGTCATCCACCTGCATCACCAGCTCCTTCACCTTCCGCTCCAGTCTGCGGTTGCTGAGCTGGAGGCTGGCCCGGTCTCTGCAGGGAGGGGGAGAACTGAGCACCCTTCCTTCTAGCACTTGGGGGGCCCGGGCCGGGAGGAAGCCATGGTCCAGCTCAGGGTCAGAGACACACAGAGCTGGCGGTGGACAGGGGAAGAAGCAGGCTGTGCAGGATGCACTGAGGGGCTGAGCGGGGACTAAGTGTCCCGAGTTCCTCCATCGTGGAGTCTAACTTTGTCAGGCAAAGAACCATAGCCTGACAGCATGTTGGTCTAGTCCAGGCTGAAGCGGCCCGTCCCCTCCAAAGGCTGTCTGTACACAGTCCTGTCACACCCGCTCTCAGAAAGGTGAGAAAGGACTACAGCTGGTAGCATCTGCTTGTCCTCTGACTATACGGTTTGGAAGCTCAGGACTATGGGGCGGACCTCTGATCCCACATTCTTTCTACCCACTGGGGGACACAGCCCAGCTCCGACAGGGGCTCGGGCCTCTGAATGCCCCTGGTTCAGAGCACAGGCCGTGTGCACACAGCTACTCCATGAAGGGAGAAGAAGAAAGGGACAGCCTCACAGACTTATTCATTTGCTGGTGGCCAGTCCTGAGGCTTGAACTCAGGGCCTCAGGGCCTGGGTGCCGTCCCTGGGCTGCTTTTGCTCAAGGCTAGCACTCTACCACTTGAGCCACAGCGCCACTTCCAGCTTGTTCTGTGTATGTGGTACAGGAGAATCAAACCTAGGGCTTCATGCATGCGAGGCAAGCACTCTACCACTGAGCCACCTTCCCAGCCTAGCAATGCAATGTTCAGTCAGGCTCCCTTACTCAAGTCACTGCCTTGGATGGATCTCAGTTTGCTCATCTTTAAAAGGGAACTGTAATAGCAAGGTTGTACTTGACGTGCCCTCCACAATGGCTTAGGAGGATGAGAAGAGATCGTGTGTGTGTGTGTGTGTGTGTGTGTGTGTGCGTGTGCGCGTGTGCGTGTGCGTGTGTGCGTGTGTGTGTGTGTGTGTGTGCTTTCACCCGCTGAGCACTGCCTACAGGGCTGGGCTCACCTCTCCTCGCTCTCCAGACGGTCCTCCAGCTCTGTGATCCTGGCCTCCATCTGTGCCACCAGCCCCTCTTTACTGGACCTGTAGGAACCTTCCAGGTGGATGATCCGGCTCTTTAGGTCCTTGTTCTAGAATCAGACAGGGGGAGAGTGAGGACGGCGTCTGCCATGTTCTGAGGGCAGAGGCAGAGTCAAATCCAGGACAGAAGCAGAGGTCATTGCCGGTGCTAAGCCTGCTCTGCTCTGCTCATCAGCCCGTGCATCCAGGCAGACAGGTGGTTTTGGGGAATGTCCCTGGGCTCTGGCCTTTGTAGGACAAAGCAAGAGGATCTAATGTATTCCCTTATGAGCCGAGTGAAAGTCTCTGGGGCATGCATGTCCTTTTACAAGCCTTCAAGGAGCAGGAGGCTCCATCACCAATTATGTCCAGTGAAGAATAGATTTAGGGAGGTTCCAATTAGTCCTTTTGTGTATGTGTTCATGTGTGCTGGTACTGGGATTGAACTCAAGACCTTAAGCTTTTGTGCTCTACCACTCGAGCCACACCTCCACTTCCAGATTTCTGCTGGTTATGGAGATAAACGTCTCATGGACTTGTCTGTCTGGATTGCCTTCTAAGTGTGGTCCTCAGATCTCAGCCTCCTGAGTGACCAGGCTTACAGGCATGAGCCACCAGCACCTGCTTTCTAGTCAGTTCTTCTCAGCCCTCGTGTGTTTGAGGATGTGGCTTGCTTTTCCCTCTACATTGGAAGGCAGTCCTCCCGATGTTCTAACCCAAAGCCAGGGAGGAGGCGACAGGCGCCCCGGGCCAGCTAACCCTACCTGTCTCTCCAGGGAAATCTTGTCACACTCCAAGTCCTGCTTCACAGCTCTCTCCTGCAGCAGCTCACTCCTCATCTGCTCCATCTGCAACAACAAAGCAAAGAGCCAGAGGTTAGGGGAATCGGGGGACTTGATTCCTTGTGGATCCTGAATTCCAGCCACCCTGTCCATTCTTCCTGAAGGAGGCTGAGAGTCCCTGGCCTCTGATGTCTCCTCTTGGGCAGAATTTGTTTCGTAGATGTTCTTGGCTTCTCCGGGATTGCTTGCCATTCTACCTAAACCTGCTCATACAGGCGGAGCTGCCTGGCCTGCCCCCACCGCCTGGCAACTCGGAGAAAATCCTGTTTTCAATTAAGGGCTGTCTGTGCGTCCTGTTCGCAGCAGTAAGGGCTGGTCTTCCTCTGACTGGATTGGTGAGAACCAATTGGCTGCAGACCACGAGAAACCAACGGGGACAGCTAACCCCACCCCTGCTGGTCTCTGCAAGCGCTCTGACTTCAGGTTTCTGGTCATCAGAACAGTACGATGTTTGGTCTAAGCCACCCACTTGACCCCAAGAAGCAGATCCACTTGCTGAAGACCCTTCACACACTCTCCTGTGACACCCGCAAACAGCCGGATGAGGTGGCAATTCTTCTACCTGCTGCGGACCTTAGGCTTTGGGGAAGGGATCACTTATACGAAAGGCCTCACTGTCTGCACCAGACGGTGTCCAGAGGTCCGGGGGCCTTCACACTGCAGTCTCAGCCGCAGCCAACTGGATGAGATGGAGTGTGCTGCGGGGCTGCTGGCCCTGCTTCAGGAAGGACTTCCCGTGAGCATTTCTTCACCTCTGCTACCTTTTTCTCCTGAAATAGCTCCAGGCCCTGACGGGGAGTTTCCTGTATTAGTAGGAAAGGTGCTGAGCAGCGTGGGGAGAATCTTGTCAGCTCCCCTTCCTCCCCTTCCCTTTCCAGGGAACCTCCAGGAGTGAAATGAGGGTCAGAGCACAGGCCCCACCTATGTCCAGAACTGTCCAGCAGAGGGCAGCAGGAAGAAGCCCGTGCCACCTCTTCACTCTGGCTGAGTGTATAGGGTACAAAAGAAAGCAGTGAATTTCTGATCCTCCAGAAGACTACCAGTCAGAAACTGACAACAGAGGAAATCCAGGCCCATGGTGGTGGTAAACATAACTAGAGCCTGGTGCCAGTGGCTCACACCTGTAATCCTAGCTACACAAGAGCCTAAGGTGCAAAGCCAGCCTGGGCAGGAAAGTCTGTAAGACTCTTTAACCCTAATTAACCAGCAAAAGGTAGTGGAGCGGTGTGACTCAAGTGCTAGAGTGCCAGCCTTGGGTGAAAAAGCTACAGGACAGCGCCCAGGCCGAGTGTGTGCGCGTACACACACGTACACACACACGAGACACCAGGCCCTGAGTGCATGCCCCACCACACACACACATCCTGACTAGAACCCAGTCCTTTCCAGGCCCTGAGTGCATGCCCCACCACACACACACACGAGACATCCTGACTAGAACCCAGTCCTTTTCTGGCCCAATGAAGAGACTTCAAATGGATCTAAGAACCGAGGCATGAAGAGGAAGAAATGCTTCTTTCTCTGACTCTTTGATTGAATGACCGTGATGTATCCCACACAGACTGACAAACCCTGCACCCAGGGGCTGGGAGGGCACCCGTCTCCCTGTAGGGAAGCAACAGCAGCCGTGCAGAGCTCGGCTGGGCAGGGTTGGGGGAGCAGAGCGTGCCAGCCCAGCTCCTGCCTTGCGCATCACATGTTGCAGAGAATTCTGGATGGATGTGTGTAACGCCTCAGGGCGCAGGGTAATGAATGCAGCCTCACAGAGCCCCTCAGAACCCGTGCTTCCCGCGAGACTCTGCGCGCCGCTCCCGGGTGAGGACGCCCTGTACCTTGCTGCTGGGAGAGGGGCCCGGCTCCTCTGCTTTCTCCTGCGCGACCTCTGGTTGCTAAGCAAACCTTAACAAGGAATGCAAAGGAACTGCAGCAGGGACCCAGCGTACAATTCGGACTAGAAGATATGGAAGGAGAGTGCACGGAGATGCGCCACCGCCTGCTGGTAGGCCGGGCGAATTAGACTACGGATAGAATGACAGCCGCAGGCCCCGCACGCAGCATGAAAATGCGGAGAGAAAAGAACCCAGGCCACGAGGGTGCGAGGCTCCTATATAACTTGGACAGAAACATGGAAGCAAGAATAGGAGACAAGTGAAAGAAATTACTCTCCCCAAAATGAAGACATGAAGCAGACCTAGAGCCAGGCGCTGGTAGAGGGCTGGGAGTCCGGCTGAGTGGTGGAGGGCTGGCTAGCATGCACGAAGCACCATATAAACAGAAAAGGCTGCCAGGAGAGCTGGGGCTCAAGTGGGAGAGCGCTAGCTTTGGACAAAAGCAGCTCAGGGACAGCACCCAGGCCCCGAGTTCAAGCCCCATGACTGGAAAAACAACAACAAAAACCCCACCAAAAACGTAGCCTAGTTTGGCCTTCCCCCTCCCCTGAACAAGGTAAGCAATCAAACCTGGTGGGAATGTTTCTTTATATAGAAAAGCTTGTGTTGGTCAGGCTTCAACTGCGTTATAACAGGCCATTAAAGATTTTCTAGTCAAATTAAAAACAGAACAGGAGTGAAAAGCAACTGCTTAACACAGCTTCACTGAGAGGATGCTCAAGCCTGAGCGATTTGATTTGGAAATAACAGCATCCGATTCCCACGCGCTTTCTGTCAGGGCTACCTGTTGCCTGAGCCCGCCCTGGCTCACAGATACGATACACACAGGTGACAAGGTTGAATACTGTGGTCAGTCTTCAGCAGGTTGGCAAGCCTATACATCTAAGCTGGTGTTAAGAAGGACAGTCATGGGCTGGGAAGGTGGCTCAGTGGTAGAGCACTTGCCTTGCATGCATGAGGCCCTGAGTTCGATTCCCCAGCACCACATAAGCATAAAAAAGAAAAAGCCAGAAGTGGTGCTGTGGCTCAAGTGGTAGAGCGCTAGCCTTGAGCTGAAGAGCTAAGGGACAGCGCCCAGACCCAGAGTTCAGGCCCCATGACCAGACCCAAAAAAAAAAAAAAGACTGTAAAGCGGCTGCACACACTGTGGTTTGAGTAGCAGTTGTGATCATCTAACTACAAACAGCGGCGGCAGCCCCACGTTGCGCTGCAGGGGTGGTAATCTGCATCTGCCGCTCCCCTTGAGCAGGCCAGCGCATTGTCCCCTGGGACGGGTCCTGCAGTTACCAAGGTAACGGGGCGCCCTCGCTGCTCAGCCTCTGGAAACACAACAGCCCTCCCCAACGCCCTCCAGCTGCCTGGGCTGGACAAGCCATGTCTCGGCTGGACAGGCGCTCCTGGGGCCACCACACCCGATGGCCCAGTGCGCTGGCATGGTAATGTCAACTGAACCAGGACCAGCCTGCCCGGCACAGTTATTGAAAAATTCACCAGGCTGAACTCCCTCTGCCTGTTTGCGTCTTATAGTCAGAGAAAGGCAGGTGGACTCAAGTCCTCCATCATCTCTAAGTCCACAGTAACGTCACGTGACCCACCCAGAGGTGCCAGGCAGGAGGATGGCGCCCAGCTCTTAGGATGCGGATGACCTTACGCCAGCATGGCACCTCACACACCTCCCATCTAGAGAATCGTCCCAGGAATTCCGGAGGGTGGAGAGGAAAATGATCCCGCAGGCTTCAACAGCTACAAAGTTGGTTAAAAAAATGTCTACAGCCATGGCTTAGATGAATTCACCTTCCATCAGTCTTGGCCACGGCAGAGATAGCGCTCCTGTCTGAGTGCTCAGTGAAGAGGACAAGGAGCGGGGGGACTCGTACCTATAATCCTAGTCACTCAGGAGCAAGAGGATGGTGGTTCAAAGCAGCCCAGCCCCCCCCACCCCCCCCAAAAAAACAGCAAAAAGCTGGGCTAGAGGTGTGGCTCATGTGGTAGAGCAGAGAAGCATCAGCTGAGTAAGCTTGAGGACCTGGGTTCAAAGCCTAGTATGAGCAACAAAAAAGAGACCAAAGTCATCATGGAACCAGAAAACTCAGTCCTGGGGGCCCCCTATTCTGGCTCTGTGTGTCTGTGTGTGTTGGTGGGAAGCATGGTGGGAAGCATGCTTCCCCAGCAGCCCCTCCGGCCGTGCACAAGGCACAGGAAAGGTTTTGGCAAAACAGTCACGGTGGCTTCTGTCATCATGAGCGCTTAGCAGCCTCTGGAATAGCCTGTGGTAAGCGGCTGCTGAGCCAAGCTGCCAAGGACTTCTCATAACCACAGCTTTTATTCCAGTCACAGAGCTTAACCAGCAGTGAAGGGAGGGGAGGCATTCACCTGGAACACATTACTGCACTCAGTGCATACTTTCAGGGTGCCTGCTCCCTGCAGGCAGGGGGGGGTCCCCGAATCACCCACCCTCGACTTTTGAGGAAGACCTGCGCATGCTCAGAAGGCCGAGCTCAGCACTGCGCTGCCGACCCGCGATTCATTTCCCACAAAGCCGCCCAACGCCATCTTTCAGCAAAACTAAACTTCTCACTTAAGCACACTGCCTTTTACCTTGCTTTTAGGGGCACCCTATTCTTTTGTGGAGAGCCAGATTGTCACAAAAAAGAAGGGCAGGGGAAGAACAGATCTCACAAGACTGACCAACAGATGAGCTGTGGAATGCTTGCGTGGGAATCATGATTACTGTGCGGTACTGGTTTAAACTCAGGACCTTGTGCTCTTGCTTAGCTTTTTTTTCTTCAGGCCAGCACTCTGTCACTTGAGAAACATCTCCACTTCTGGCTTTTTGCTGATTCACTGCAGGTAAGAGTCTCAGATTTGTCAGCTTGGGCTGACTTCCAACCTGGAACCTTGATCCTCATATCTCAGTCTCCTGAGTAGCTGGGATTACAGGCATGAGTCACCACTGGTACTTACTGGAGAGTTTATTTATTTTGACCATACTCAGTCAAAACCATGAGTAACAAACTCATGAATCAAACAGGCCCCTTACCGCTGCAAAGTTCTTAAACTTTGCCACAGAGTTGCTGCTAGGGGCTGAACGTTGCATCTTGCTGAACTAACAATTTGGCAAGCAAAACTCTAAGGCTAAATGGCTGCTGGATGTCTACCCACGAGCATGCTGGGAATTTCCCAGCAGCCTTTGCTGCTCCTGCTTAGAGCAAAGCATAAGATGTCTGTCATCAGTTCGGTCTAAGAGGGTCCTCTGCCTGATGCCCCAGCAGCCCCCCCTCAGTTAAGTGTTCCCCAGTACCTGTTCCCTGCTCCGAGCGATCCTGTCGGACAGCAGATCCGAGTTGTTTCTTTCCTCTTCCAGTTCCGCCTCCAGCTGGGACACCTTGTCCTGCGTAACAAGTCACACAAGGTCACCTTGCAGCCCGGTAGAAGGAAGCCCCAAGAGGAAGTGGGAGGCACCCGAGAGCACACGGCCTCAGTTCTGAGTGCTTCCTGCTTGACACAGTGCTTTGCCTGCCTTCAAGGAAACCCCCAAACCTGCACTGGACTACACAAGGACACCGGTGGTGGCTGATTCCGGTAACCCCTCAGTCACCTATGAAGAATAGCTGCCTTCGGGCTGGCTTCTGATTTAACATCATTGAGTGAAAGCATGTATTTCAGGCCTGACACAATGGCTCACATCTATCATTCCAGCTAATCGGGAGGTAGAAATAGGAAGATCTGGTTTGAGACCAACTTAAGCAAATAATCATCTCCTATTCTAAAAAAAGAAGGCTATAATCATAGCTACTAAGAAGGCATGTGGAGGAGGCTTGCTGTGTGAGGCCAGCTCAGGCAAAAGGCACAAGACGCTATCTGAAAAATGAAGCAAAATGGACGAGTGGTGTGGCCCAAGTAATGGAGACTTGCCGTGAGTTCAAACCTTAGTACCACCATCACCCTCCCCCGAAAAAACAAGGTTCTTGGGGCTGTGGGGTATGCACCTGCCTGTGTGTCAGCTTCATCAGAGGTTCTGCAAGCTGCATCTGCAGCATAGTAAGAGGTGGACTTGGGCAGTTGCCCAAATTGATTGACAAGGGAAACACTAAATGAAAGTCTCAGAATTCAGGTGTGCTCTTCCCTGGTAAGTATCAGAGCCATAGCACCGGAAGCAAAAAGTCCCAGAAACTTGAGTACAAAGCTGGGTCCTTCCCAAGCTTCCTACCTGGGGACGGGGGAGAGAGAAAGCAGGCACCAGGCAGTGAGATCACCTGGAGGCATGGAGCTATCTTTGCACACAGGAGTCGTGTGTGTATGCATGAGTGCGTGCGCGCGCCAGTCACTTTGTAGCTAGAGGAGAAAGAGTTCAATATTGTACAGGAGCCGAGCGCCAGGGGCTCACGCCTGTAATCCTAGCTACTCAGGAGGCTGAGATCTGAGGATCCCGAGTCAAAGCCAGCCCGGGCAGGGAGGTCCATGAGACTCTTATCTCCCATTAACCACCACAAAACCAGAAGTAGAGCTGCGGCTTAAGTGGTAGAGTGCTAGACTTAGCTCAGCAACAGTGCCCAGGCCCTGAGTTCAAGCCCCAGGACTAACCCCACTCCCACCCTACCCCCCAAAGTATGTATTTTTTTCTTTTGGGGGTACTGAGACTTAGACTCAGGCCTTACGTGTGCTAGCGAGGCAGGCAGGCACTCAACCACTGCAGTCATGCCCTCTTCCATTTTGTGCTCCTTCCCCCAGGAGTGCCTCACACTCTGATCCTCTAGCCTTTACCTCTCTTTTTGCTGGAATTACAGGCAGGGCCACTTTGTCTCATTCATTTGTTCAGATGGGGATTTTGCTCACTTTTGCCTGGGCTGACCTTTGACCGCAGTCCTAAGTAGCTGGGACTTAAAGGGGTTTTTATCTGCCTCTAAAGAACCCAGTCACATTTGAGATGCAGGCTCTGGCTTCATCTGAGCACTGTGCCTGAGCCTTAAAGCTCAGTCCAGTTCTAGTGAACGGAACTTACCTTAGCTTGCCTTACAACGATCTCCTGAAGTAAAACTCAAACCATGACAAAATAAACAGTAAAAAAAAAAAAAAAAAATCCATTTATAGTGGCAGAAAGGAGTCTAATGAAACCTTCCGTGGCAGAAGCTGCCCTGCCGGGCAGAGCTGAAGGAGGAAGCCATGCACGCTGAGGGAAGCCAGTGCTCAGCCCCTCCTCTCCAAGACGCCCCACTCTCCTCCCCTCCCGCTCCCCCTCTCCTATCTTTCCCCCTGCTCCCATCTCTCCTTCCTCTCTTCCCTTTCCCCTTCCATTTCCTTCTCTTCTCCCTGTCTAGCCTCTCTCCTTGCGCTCTCGTCCCTCGGCTCCGCTCTGTCCCTCTCCTCTTTCCCCATTCTTGTCTCTTCTCTTCCCTTTCCTGGTCCGTGCATCCCTTTCTCCTCCCTCTACTCTCCCTTTCCTCTCCCGTCCCCTACCTCCTCTCCATCTATCCCTTTCCTCTCCTGTCCTCCCTCCCTGCTCCCCCTTCCATCTCTTCCCCTCTCTCCTTTTCCTCCCTCCTTCCTCCCCTGCTCTCCCTCCCTTCTACTCTTTCCCTCTCCTTCCTCCTCCCCTTCCTTTTTTCTCATTCTCCTCTCCTCCCCTGCTCTGCTCCCACCTCTCCTCCTGCTTGTCTTCTCTCTTTATCCTCTTTCCCCTCCGCTGCCTCTCCCTGCAGCCACTCTCCCCCACCCATCTCTCCCTTTCCACCCATCTCTCCCTTTCCACCCATCTCTCCCTTTCCACCCATCTCTCCCCTTCCACCCATCTCTCCCCTTCCACCCATCTCTCCCCTTCCACCCATCTCTCCCCTTCCACCCATCTCTCCCCTTCCACCCATCTCTCCCCTTCCACCCATCTCTCCCCTTCCACCCATCTCTCCCCTTCCACCCATCTCTCCCCTTCCACCCATCTCTCCCCTTCCACCCATCTCTCCCTTTCCACCCATCTCTCCCTTTCCACTCTGCTCTCTCTCCTGTCTTCTCTCTCGCCTCCCCGTTCCCTTATTCTGTCTACCCCCCTCACTTCCCCACCACATCCCCTCCTCCTCCTCCTCCTCCTCCTCGCTCTTCATCTCCTTTCCTCTCCTTTCTCGTCCCTCTCCCTCCATCCTGCCATCCCTCGCCTCCCTTCTCATTCTCACTCATCCCTCCTTCGCCCCTCCCTCCTCTTCCCCTCCCGCGCTCTCTTGCCTGTCTCCTCCCTCTCTCTCCTCCCTCCCCAGCATCGCTCATGCCTCCCCCTCCCCCTCCGGTCCCTTTCCTCCCTCCTCCCTTCCCTCCCTCACTTCCCCACTCCGTCTTCTCCCTTTACCCTCTTTTTTCTCCTCTTCCCCTTCCGCGATGCCACCTCTCCCCGGTATTCATGCCACTCTTCCCTCTACCCTCTTCTCTCCTTCCCTCTCCTTCCTATCCCTTTAGTCTGTTCCCGCCATTCCCTTCTCCTCTCTGTGCACTGTCTCCTTCCTCCTTTCCCTCCTCACCCTCATCCTTCCATCCTCCTTGTTGCTCTTCTCCCTGTCTCCATCCTCTTTCATACCTCCCCTCTCCTTCCTTCCCCCCTCACCCTTTCCTCTCTTCTCTCCCATCTACTCCCTTTCCCACCTGTCTTCCCAACCCCTGTCCTCCCCTCCATGCTCCTCCGTCTCCTCCCATTCCCCTATTCTACCTCTGTCCCCCCCCCCGTCTTGTCCCCCTCCCCCGCTAGTCGCTTTATGACTGCCTTTCTCTTCCTTCCATCCTTCCATCCCCCTCTCCCCTACCTCTCCTTTTCTCCTCCTCCTTCCTGTAGCGCTCTCTCCATCCTCTTTCATCCCTCCCTCTTTTCTTCCTTCCCCTCCGCACTTTCTCCCTTCCTTCTCTCCCCTCTCCCACTGTCCCTTTCCCCATCTCCTCCCCTCATTCCTCTCCCCTTCTCTCTTCCTATTTCTCCTGTCCTCTCCTCGCTCTTGCTCCCTTTCTCTCCCCCACTCTCCAGTCTCCTTTCCCTCCTCTTCCTTTCTCCAACTTTCCACTTTCTCATCTTTTCCCTCTAGCCTGTCTCCTCCACATCTCCCTCCCTCCTTACTCTCACCCTCTCTTCATCTCCGTCTTCTCCCTTCCACCTCTCCTTCACTTGTTCCTGTCCTCCTCGCATCCTCCCTCGCCCTCCTCACCTCTCCCCCATTCCTTTCTTCTCCTCTCTCCCCCATCTACCTCCTTTCTCTTCCTCTCTCCTCCCGCCAGTACCGAGCTGTCCATCCTCTTTCACCCCTCCTCTCTCTTGCTCTTCATTTCCCTTATTCTCCTCCTTTAACTTTCCCACTCTCCTCTCTCTCCTTTCCTCTCTCCACACTGGGAGTGCTGGGGGGATCCCTGAGGACAAGCGTCTGGGCACAGCATTAAACTATGAGGATTATAGTTCAAAACCAGCCCAGGCAGAAAAGATTGAGCAGCAGAAAGCCAGAAGTGGAGCTGTGTCTCGGGAGTAGAGCGCCAGCCTTGATTAAAAAAAGTCATGGGACTATGCGTCAAGCCCCAGAACCCAAAAAAACTACCTTTTCCCTTAAGTGCGGCCCTCTACAGGCATTAAACTCTGATGCCATGCAGGGACGACCCCAAACCAAAAGGAAAACCCCAGGGCTTCCTCAGAGCTGAAGGAACAGGCCCAGGCCCCTAGTGGCCCACCCCAGACCTCCATCTGTCTGGCCAGCCGGCTGCGCTCATCTTTGGCGTGGCTCTTGGCCTCCAGCTCGCACTCCAGCTCCTTCAGTGTCTGCTCTACAAGCCGCCTTCTCATGAGCTCTTCCTCCTGAGACCGCTGACGGTCCCTCAACTCTTCCTCCAGGAGGCGCATCTAGGGGAGAGAGAGTTGGGCGGGGGTCTCATGGGGTTAATAACACAGACACACACCTCCCCCCAACACGCTGCACAGGCTCACTCTGAAGGAAAGTGCTTCCCAGAGAGTAATTACTGCACTTCAGAGGAGGCTTAAAGTCAGGGTGAAAGAAAACCAAAATTAATCAACCAGAAACAGGCACAAAATTGAACCATATATCCATGCACTTTTTAGGCCACAACCGATGCTTTGTAGAATGGGCTGGTCACCATCATAACCTGTAGTTTTCATCTTCATCCACAAGGTGGCACTACGCCAATAAGCTTTGAATAAAACATGGATTTTTCAAAGGCTGAATGCTCCTAGAACTCATTCTCATCTCTGAGATGGGGAAGGGAAGGTAGAATCTGGGCAGGCTCCCCAACAATGTCCTACCTCCTGGAGATGGCAGAAGGGGTGTAGGGAAAGGCACAGACTTGGGGATCCAGTACACCAGGAAAAGGGAGAAAGAAAGACTCGACTGACGGAGTCTAGGCAACTATTTCAAATCTGAAAAACACTCAAGTCCAAAACACTTCCGGTCCCCAGCATTTCACAGACAAGGAACAGGCACCTTGCTTTGAGTCCGTTATCAGGAGCTTTCAGCACCGTTTTAGAATTGGGGATAAATAGCCATTGTTCTTTTACAGCTTCAGCAGTGACTCATGAGCCACCTTCCTTTGATCAAAGAAATGCAGAGTTTGTTTTTTAAAGAAAACTCCTTTTCCTGTGGAGTCTTTGGGCTCTTGGCAGTGGATGTGAACAAAAATAAACTTTAGAATTAAGGGACCCAGTTATTGTCTGGGACTGTACTCAGTCTCTCCTATATAGGGTCACATGATTTAATTACTGACTAAAGAGGTGGAGATGCTCAGGTAACTGGAGTGAACTGCTCAAGGTCATGCAGCTGGCAGGCGTATCTGACCTATCCACTCTGTGTGGGGAGCTCCTGACTTTCTACTCAAACAATCACAAACATTCCCTTTGATTTTTCTTCTTTGGAGGTCAAGATGAAGGGAAGCCCTAGTCTTTTTTATTTTGTTTTGTGTCAACAGTAGGGCTTGACTAAGCTCAGGGCCTGCAGCAGTGCTCCAGTAGCTCCCCGCCCCCTGTAACCCCTTCAGTACCAGTAGCCCACAGATGGTCCAGGCAATGGTTGGGGAGCAGTTTGCTCGGCATGGGACACTATGAAAGGCCCAGGGGGATCCTGAGGCTTTTTTTGCTTAAGGCTGGCACTCCTGAGCACTTGAACCACAAATCCTCTTCTGGTTAGTTCATTTCAGATGAGAGTCTTGGTTTTGTCTGCCTGGGCTGGCTTCAAACCTTGATCCTCAGATCTCAACCTCTTGAGTAACTAGGATTACAGGTGTAAATTCCCAGGGCTCAGCTTAAGTACTCTCAAGTATCAAAATCAAGGTAGAGTAACATTGCGGGGGTGATGCTGGGGTTGAAGTCAGGACCTCACACATGCTAGACAAGCTCTACCACTGAACCTCCCTCGCCCCCAGCCCCCAGGCCTCCTTTTAACTCGCACTATTGGAGACTTACCACCACTCCTATGCCAATAAGGAAGCCTGTATTCCCACGAATGACAAAAAATCCATTCCTGCCATTCTGTGCCAGGAATAAAATACAATGGGAGTGTGGATGAGTCACGTGAACACAGCTGGTCCCTTTCCCCTTCCAAAAGCTAAACTTTTTAGGCAGAAGATTTTAGACTAATGTTTTTTAAAAAGAAAAAGGACCTGTTACCATTACGGCCATTTCATCTGGGAGTAGTTTTTTTTTTTTCCTTTTAGAATATCACTTGTCCACGTAACAGATATCTAGAAATGGAGGAGGAAATGATCTATAAAGACATACAAACTGCCTGGTGTATGGTTCGAATGGAGGATTCCACTGGGCGTAACTCCTATGACCAATGACTCACACTAAATGAACAGCAGGAAGTTGCTGGGGGGGGGGGGGGGCGGGGGGGAGGAGGCCATGGGGAGGATGAATGGGGAGAGGAAGGGTAGGCAAAGGCAGTCATAATATTCAATGTACAAATGTGAAAAATGGACCAGACAACTTGAGAAGGGTGGGGAATGATGGAGGGGGTGACATGGATGGATCGGGACGCATCATACTCATTGGTTGACATGGAATTAAAAACACTTTGTGCAACTGAAGATAATAAAGAGAAAGAAAAGAGACCACCCAAAAATAAAATATGAAGCTGGGTCCTGGTGGCTCATGTCTGTTATCCTACTCAGAAGGCTGAGATTTGAGGATTGTGGTTCAAAGCCACCTCAGGGAAAGAAAATCCATGAGACTCTATCTCCAATTAGCCATCGGAAAACTGGAAGTGATAGAATGCTCGTCTAGAGCTGAAGAGCTCAGGGACAATGCCCAGGCCCAGAGTTCAAGTCCCAAGACCAACAACAACAACAAAAAGTCTACCCTCAAATCTTCCCAGAAGCATTTTAAAGTGGTATCTCAGGAGCCTGAACAAGGGAGGAAGGAGGAGGAGGAATGAATTACCTCCTCGCGCATGTTGGAGGCTGCCAGGTGGGCCTTCTCTGCCTCCAGCGTCTTCTCCTTCAGCTGCCTCTGCATGTCTGTGAGCTCCCTGCGGGTCTTCTCCTTATACTCATCCAGATGGCTCTGGAGCTCCAGGGTGGATGTGCGGGACGCTTCAACAATGTCTGCCATCTGCGAGAAAAGGGATACGATGTGAGCCCTCCCTGGGGTAAGCAGCTGAAGGTCTGGGCCCTGAGGCTGGGTCCCCTGCACACCCTTCAGCTTGAGCAGCTTCTGCATGGCAACAGCATGGCCGAGGGACAGCCGCATACTCTAGGCCTGGACACAGTCCTGGAGTCAGAGATCCGTGTTGCCACCGGGCAGTTCTACAACTGGGCACATCTGTCACTTCTCAGTACCTGGTAGTTTCCAAAAGGACAGTTGCCCAGCCCTGAAATCTGACTTTCTAGAGTCATGTTCAGAGTGAACTAAATGCACACACCTAGACAGAATTCCAGAAAGGATAAAAAGCAAGAGCCTGGTGCATGGCTCACGCCTGTAATCCTAGCTACTCAGGAGGCTGAGATTTGAGGTTCAGGGTTTAAAGCCTGCCCAGACTCCTATCTCCAGTTCACTAGCAGAAAGCCAGGAGTAGAGGTGTGGCTCAAAGGGTAGAGTGCTAGAAAAGCTCAGAGACAGTGCCCAGGCACGAATTCAAACCCCAGGCCAGGCACGCACGCACGCGCGCACACACACACACACACACATAATACAAAATAGCAAAATGAGCAGGCGTCAGGAAATAGAGGTCACTTGTGTCCACTTAGCTCCTACCATGCAGGGAGCCAATCTGGCCTTGTTCTGTCCCCTATGGGAATTTATGGGGCCAAGAGATCCAACTCCTGGACATGTTAGCCAGATGCTAGATCCACACAGATGCAGGTTTTCAACCCAGGGAATAGTTGGTTCCATGTGTGTTTCCACACCAACCTGCTAAGATGTCTACAAGCAGTTCTGGTGCCCAAAGTCCACAAGGTATGGGCTTTACTGGTTTTTGTTGTTGTGTTTAGGACTTGAACTCAGGATTTGGTGCTTGCTAGACAGGTGCTCTACTGCTGAGCCGCGCCTCCATCTTTGCCCCTCGGCAGTTATTTCGAGCTAGGTTCTCATTTCCTGTCCAGACCTGTGTCTAGACATCCAGATGGGATCTCAGCTGAGGCTTCCCTTCTGAGCCAGGGCAACAAGCATGGACGACCACATGCTCAACTTCTTCCACTGAGGTGGAATCTCATGGACTTCTCTGCTTACATTGACCTCAAAATGCCATCCTCCACACCTCAGCCTCCAAGTAGCTAGGATCACAGGCATGAGCCACTGGTGCCTGGTTTGGCAGCAGCGATTCTCGCGAAGTCTAAAGAAGACCTTCAGGTATTTGCAAATCCCTGACACATGTGTGTGAAGACAGGAGTCCCAGGCCCAGAGAGGGCTGCGTCACTGAGGGGCAGTGTGCCCTCCCCACCACCCCGTCTCCCTCACCTCCTTCTGCAGCTTCTCAATGGTCTTGTCCAGGCACCACCGCTCGCTCTCCATCTCGCTCCTCAGCTTCCTCAGCTGCTCCTTCTGCTCAGGCTCGTCCTGGAGCTTCTCACACAGCTGCCTGTGCTCCTGCGTGGTGCGGCTCAGCGCCCTCTGCAGGGCAGGGCAGGGCAGGGCCGGGCCGTCACTTCCCCATTCGGCCAACCAGGGGGCCACGACCCACAGCCACCAGACCATTGGCATGCAAAAAGACCTGACTAAAGCCACCAAGGCCCACACAGGATCCGGCTGGTGGCAATAGCTAAAAATCAGTCCCCAGGGGAAGAGCACAGGGCACTGGGCACAGATGCAGAGGGAAAGGGTTGCCTGGCCTCTGCCCCACAGCACCCAGGCACTACAGCCCTACAAGGACTGCGCTCCTCCCGATTTCAACTCAGCACACAAAACCCAACAGGGCAGGAGGCAGCTGCCTCTCCTCTCCCCCGGTCAGAGGAGCAGCCTCCACCACCTCCTGCTTCAGTTTGGGAACAGAATCAAAGATGTTGTTCAAGAACACCATACCGCAGGGTTATCCTGGACCCTAGGAATGTGGGACAGGAAGCTAAGAATGGCAGTGAAACAGATGCAAGTTCACTATGGTCTTCAGCCAATATGAAGATGAATATATTCATCATATGCAAAGGAGCAACTGATTGCTAAAAGTACAAAGTCTTGCAATGAAGAATTCTGGTGAGAGCTGGGCGTGTCCGTGGCTCACTTCCGTAACCCTAGCTACTCAGAGGGCTACTTGAGAATCACAGTTCAAAGCCAGCCAGGGCAGAAAGTCTGTGAGACTCTTATCTCCCAATAAGCTACTCAGAAAAAGCCAAACGTGGCACTGTGGCTCAAGTGGTAGAGCGCTGGCCTTGAGCACAGAGAGGCTCAGAGACAGTGCCCAGACCCTGAGCTCAAGCCCCAGGGCCTGGTGAGTGTTGGGCACCAGTGGGCTCGTACCTGTCATCCTAGCTACTCAAAAGGCTGAGATCTGAAGACCATGGTTCAAAGCCAACCCAAGAAGGAAAGTCTGTGAGACTCATGTCCAATTAACAACCATCAAAAACCTGGAAATGGATCTATGGTTCAAGAGCGCTAGCCTTGGACAAAAAAAGAAAAGCTCAGAGACAGCACCTAGATTCTAAGTTCGAGCCCCAGGAACAGCACCAAAAAAATAAAATATTGACCTGAAACGATACCCATTTCTTTTCCCTCTTCCTCCAGGACTAAGTTCCCTCCTCCGTCTGGGTTTCCAACTTGTAGGGTGTCAGGCGTGCAGGACACCTGAGCAAAGGGTTTGGCCCCCAATCCCCAGAGCATCAGGTGATTGCACTCCTGCATCCGGTCCACACAAGCTCATGTAGGAGCCGAGGGGGAAGCAGTCAGGTCTCCTGGGAGTGAGTGTGTAGCCACACGCTGGGTGGCGGGACACCCAGCGGAGCCCCGAGGCCTTCTGTTCTACCCAGAGTTCACACTCATCCTCAGTAGCTCAACTGACACAAGCAAGAAACATTTTTTCTTTGGTGGTTTGAACTCAGAACCTTGGGCCTGCTAGGCAGACATTCTATTCCTTGGGTTATGCCTCCAGCCCTTTTGCTTTAGGTTATTTTTCAAGAGAGGGTCTTGAGGTTTTGTGGGGTGTGTTTGTTTTGACTAGGGCCAGCCTGGTAGGATCATCCTACCTCTGTTTTTTGCGTAGCTGGCACACACCACACTCAGGTTATGTGTTAAGATGAGGTCTTGCTAACTTTTTTTGCCCAGGCTAGGTTTGAAGCTCGGTTTCCCATCTCTGCACGCGGAGGAGCTGGGATGTACAGGTGCGAGCCGCCTCAGCCGGCGCGGAGCATCCTCGCTTAGCCCAAGCAGACATTCTGCGAGGCTCCAAAACCTGTGTCCCACATTTGGTGCATGCATGACAAAGAGATGGGGATTTTTTTTGTTTGTCTCAAGTAGAAATGTTTTTCCTGTTTCTAACCTCCACTAGCTCACAAATTTAAACTCCACCCTTGAGCAGCTGACTGGGTAACCCACAGTAAGCATCGTGACCCATCACCAGCACGCAGCGAAACTGCCAGCCACACACGGCCAGTCCAAGAATTAGTGACAAAGATCCAGATCTAAGAAAAAACCGGAAGCCAAAACAGAATGCAGTGGCTCTCTCCTGTAAAAACTCAGGAGATGGAGATTGGGAAGACTGAGTTTCCAGGCCAGTCTGGGCAAAAAGCTCATGAAACCCTCTCTATTACAAGCAAGGCAGGCCAGGGGCCCGTGACTCATGTCTATAATCCCGGCTACTCAGGAGGCTGAGATCTGAGAATCACGGTGTGAAGCCAGCCCAGGCAGGGAAGTCTATGAGACTCATATCTCCACGAAACTACCAGAAACGCTGGAAGTGGATGTGGCTCAACGTGGCAGAGCACTAGCTCAGGGATAGCACCCCGGCCCTGAGCAAAAGCTACAGGAAAATCATGACCCCGGCCTGCCTGAGCAAAAGGTGAGACCTTATCTGAAAAATGGCTAAAGCCAAAGGGGCTGGGAAGCCCCAAGCTCAAGGCCAGAACCACCACCAAAAAGAAGAGCAGGGGCTGGGAAGGAGGCTCAGTGGTAGAGCGCTTGCCTGGCATGCACCAAGCCCTGGGTTGGATTCCTCAGCACCACACAGAAAAAGCCAGAAGTGGCGCTGTGGCTCAGGTGGGAGAGTGGTAGCCTTGAGAAAAAGCAGTTCAGGGACAATGTCCAGGTCCTGAGTTCAAGCCCCAGGACTGGCAAAGAAAAAATGAAAAGGAGGAGGAGGAGGAGGAAGAGAAGGAAATCCAAGATGACAGCCAGCAGACAGTGAACATGGGAGAGACAGGCTTCGAGGTCAAATGAGCTCTCCATCCAAAGTAGGGCCGACAGGTGAGCGTGGCTATGCTTCTGGGGGAGCTGGTGCTCCCTTAAAGGGGCTCTCAGTCCTCTCTTACATTTCTGTCTTTGCAGACATATGGCTCTGCATAGCACAGGATCTCAGCCATCTTCCCCTGGCCAGCTCTCAAGCACAAAAGGTTTTCACCAGCTGGGCACTGGCAGCTCACGCCTGTCATCCTAGCTACTCAGGAGGCGGAGATCTGAGGATCACAGTTCACAGCCAGCCCGGGCAGGAAAGTCCATGAGACTCTAATCCCCAGTTGGCCACCAAAAAGCCAGAAGTGGAGCTGTGCTGAAAGTGGTAGAGTGCAAACCTTGAGCAAAAATAAAGAGCTCAGGGACAGCACCCAGGCCCTCAGATCAAGGTCCAGGAATGACACGAGGAAAACAAAAAAAACAATGAAGAGAACCAGTGGCGGCCATCTCTACCCGCCCGCTTGCAAGAAAGCCGAGCTGAGCCCGTGCTTACCTGGGCCTTCTCCAGCTCGCTTTCCAGGGCCCTCCTGGCCTCCGTGGATGCCTCTTCCTCCTTTCTGGCACTCTCAAGGGCCTCCGCTAGCTGCTGCATTTCACCCTACAACGCAACACTGGTTAGAAGGCACCCACAATGCAACACTGGTTAGAAGGCACCCACAATGCAACACTGGTTAGAAGGCACCCATTCGTGCTCCTGGCCTCATGACGCTGACTCAGTGGAAGCAGGTAGACGTAGACGGGCCCACTGCCATGCCTCATGCCTGTGATCCCCCTGCTGGGGAGGAGGACGGTGACTCAGCACAGCTATGTGGAAGGCCAGGGCAGGGGACTCACAGTGCCAATTGAGTGTTGGTACTGAAAAAAAAAAAAAGTTCAAGACCCTGTCTGGAAAATAACTGGAAAGAGCAGAAAGGGCTGCGGGCGTGACTCAGATGGTAGAGCACCTGCCTCACAAGCCACAAGACCATGATTTCAAATCCACAGAACAGTAAACAAAAAGGAAAGAAAATGAACATGAAGACACCCACAGACCAGCAGCCAGGTCCTCAAATGTCCTCCATCTGTGACCCCAGTTCTTGTGTGTGTATGTGGCCCGTCCTGGGTCTTGAACTCAGGGCTTAAATGCTGTCCCTGAGCTTTTTTAGTCTCAAGGCTAGAGCTCTACCATTGGAGCCATAGCTTCATTTCCAGCTTCTTGGTAGTTAACTGGAGATTAGAGTCTCACAGATTTTCCTGCCTGAGCTGACTTCAAATCGTGATCCTTAGGTCTCAGCCTCCTCGAGCAGCTGCTGATTAAATGCGTGAGCCATTGGTGCCCAGCGCCTGGCTGCTACTTTTTTAAATGCAAATCTCCAGCCTTGGCCTGAAGGTGCTATAAGAATTACATCAGTCATTCTGATGGGCACCAGATTTGTCCCTTAGGTCACGGTCAGTGTCTGTCACACAAACAGCTTCCCACCTCCACAGGTGAGACCACTGCGGGAGTGGCTTTGCCACGCCCTGGGTAACTGCGTAAGAACAGCACGGTCCTGAGGGCCTCCAGCCCACAGCGGTGGGGGCAGCTGTCTGGAAGTCCCTGAAGGTGGAGCCTGGGAAAGGTTGGGGTGTCTGATGTTGGGGTGAGAGGAAAACCATGCGCCCCCAGATAGATTTTGGATGTCCCTCCCCTCCCCTCCACCGGCTCCCTCTCACCTGGGTGCGCACGGGCAGGGGAGAAGGCCGGGCCTTACCTTGCACTTAAGGAGTGCATCCTTGGCCTCCATCTCCTGGCCTCCCCGGGCCTCCAGCTGCTCCTGCAGCTCAGTCGCCCTGTGCTCCAGCTCTGCGATCTGGAGCCGCAGCCGCGTGTTCTCCTCGGCCAGCTCCTTCTCCCGCAGGCCAGCCCCTGCCGGCCTCTGCTCCGCGCTGCTCCGGCTGGCCAGGACCTCCACGTTCTGTAAAAACACACCAAACATACCAAGGTCCAACAGGGTAACCCCTCAATAACCCACCCACCACTCCACAAAATGAATACCACCAAGTGGAAATGTGTTTGGAGAGGGGACAACAAGAGGCAACGAAATGTGAAACCCAAGTTTCCCTACGAACCAGCGATATCACTCTTGGGTATACACCTAAGTAAAGATGTAGGATGACACGAAAACGTGTTCCTGCATCCTTAGAGCATCGTTATTCCAAGTACACCCAAGGTGGAAATAACTCTGATGTCCACTCACAAACAGGTGGGTAACAAAACATGGTCTGTTCATACAATGGAGTATTTCTTAGTCACGAGAAGAATAAACCACTGATGCACACTACAGTATCAGAGATGAACCTTGAAAACCTGATTCTACATGGAACAAGCAAGTCATAAAAGATCCCATGAGGGCTGGGAAGGTGGCTCAGTGGTAGAGCGCTTGCCTTGCATGCATGAGGCCCTGGGTTTGATTCCTCAGCACCACATAAGCAAAAAGAAAAAGCCGGAAGTGGCGCTGTGGCTCAAGTGGTAGAGTGCTAGGCTTGAGCTGAAGAGCTGAGGGACAGCGCCCAGGCCCAGAGTGCAGACCCCACGACCGGACCCAAAAAAAAACTTTTGGAGCGTAATGAAAATGTTCTAGAGTTGACAGCAATGTTGGCTGTACGACACTGAACATACAGATAACACACAGGATTGTGTTATTTTATTTGTGCTGTACTGGAACTTGAATTCAAAAGTTTCAAGTTCTCAGCATTTTTTTTTTTTTTTTTTGGGTCCGGTCATGGGGCCTGAACTCTGGGCCTGGGCGCTGTCCCTCAGCTCTTCAGCTCAAGGCTGGTGCTCTACCACTTGAGCCACAGCGCCACTTCCGGCTTTTTTTCTTTTTGCTTATGTGGTGCTGAGGAATCGAACCCAGGGCCTTGAGCATGCAAGGCAAGCGCTCTACTACTGAGCCACCTTCCCAGCCCCTCTCAGCATTATTTTTTCACAGCTGGTGCTCTATCACTTGAGCCACATCTTCAGTACAGCTCTTTCTTTTTGTTTTTCCAGTAAATTGGAGAAGAGAGTCTTTTGGACTCTTCTGCCTCAGCTGGCTTTGAACCAAGATCCTCAGACCTCAGCCTCCTGTGTAGGTGGGATTCCAGGTGTGAGCCACCAGCACCCAGTTTGAGTTGTACATTTGAAATAGTTGAATTATATATAGTTTGAATCAGTGCAGCCTTTTTTGTTTTCGGGGGGAGAGAGAGCGGCAGGAGGGAGGCCTGCAGGCCGGGAATGAGGAGCGTGGAGCACTACCCCAAGATGCAGGGGTCTCCAAAGCACCAACGGGAAGATAGAGGACAGATAACTGCACAGACTCATGGAAGCAAAGGGCATTCACCTGCCAGGCCAGAGGAGTAAGAGAGCCAAGCATGGGAGCACACAGGTAAACCCTAACTCTTCAAGAGGCAGCGATCAGGACTGAGTTCAAGCCCTAGAACCCCCCAAAGTGCTAAGGAGGGAAGGAGAGAAAAAAAGAGAAAGGAAGGAAGGAAGGCAAGCAGGCAGGCAGGCGAGATACTGAAGGTAGACCTGGATTAACCTGGGCTTAGGCCCAACTAGCACCCTGGCTGGGAAGCATACCCCAGCCCGGCCAGGCTCTTGAGGACCAGGAGAGAGCTCAGGAGCTGGAGCAGCTGCACGAACAGAACCGGAGCCACGTGGCCCATGCCGGGTCACAGTCCTGCATGGAGCTGGGGGAGTGGGGAAAGCCGAGAGCGCCCACACTCCCACCTGCAATGAATAATTTCTGCACCTCTTCTCCCCCAGGCAATGAGAAATCCCCAGAGCTGTGGGAGGAAAAAATGCCTTTTAACATGCAGACTTTTCCAGGCAAAAATGCATCTGATGCCTTCCCATTTTGCATCCTGGGCCACGTCTCTGTACAGTGAGGACACTGTGTGCCTAGTATTCCAGAAAGATGCAACTAATTCCGTGAGTTCTCCAAGCGCGTTTCTCTCTCCACCCACTCCGCACAGGACCCATGAACTCCCGTGTGTACTGCCCCAAACGCCTAGATGGAGGAGCAAGCAAGGACCATCGCCGACCACATCAGATCCAGACTGTGTCTCTTGCCTGGGGTCTTTTTTTCAATACTTAGCCCCCTGGAACCTTCATTTCCTCATCTACAAAATGGAAGAAAGCGCCAGGCCTGTCATCCCAGCTTTTGGGGAGGTAGAGATCAGAAGGATCACAGTGCAAGGCCACAGCCTAAGGAAGAAGTCCGCAAGGCTCCTCTCCACCAAGAAGCTAGAAATGGTGGTACATGCCTGTGACCTAGCTATGCAGGAGGTGTGACTAGGACACTCACGGTCTGGGCTGGCTTGGGCAAAAATAGCTTTAGTTTTCCTTATGGAAAAAAAAAACAAAACATAAAATAGCCCCACTTTCCCCGGGTCCTGGCTTGAATGGCACTTCCTATGTAGAAGACGCCATTTCCCTTACCATGACGGCTAGCTACTATGATGGGTAGTGCTTGGTTCTGTCAGGCGCCATACCTTTCAAGCAGCTGCTAGCCAGGAAGGGCCCCACCCGGCCAATGCTGTGCCCCCAAATTCTGAGTCACCAGAAAATAATTTGGGGGGAGGAGGGAGGTGGAGGCAGGAGAAGAGAGGGAAAAAAAAAGTAGGAGTTAGATGCCTTGTTACATTAAGTGGCTCGCAGGCCCGGCCCCAGGCTTTACAAAGGGTTACAACATAGCTAACCACCTGCACCCCATGTCAGCAGACAGGTCCAACGGGATTTTTGAAGATAAAGTGGGGAGTTCCGGGCTGGTGTGGGAACCCCTCCAGAATAAACCCAGGCCCCAGAGGGCAGCTCGCACACTTAGAGACTGGAGCCTCATCAGACTCCGCTCTACTGGATCTTCCACCTTCTCCAGTCCTTCCTATCACGTGTCCGGAAATGCTCAGGATCCGCTCCAAACAGTAGACAGCATCAAGTACTGCGGGGTGCGGGTGGCTCGAGCTGGAATCTTACCTTCTCCAGAGGCTGAGATCTGAGGATCTCAGTTTGAAGCCACCCCGGGCAGCAAAGTCTGTGAAACTCTTATCTACAGTTAACCAGCAAAAAAAGCCAGAAGTGGAGCTATGGCTCAAGCGGTAGAGGGCTAGCCTTGAGTAAAAGCAGCTCAGGGTCAGCTCCAGGCCCTGAGTTCAAGCCTTAGGATCAGCAAAAACAAAACAAAACATCAAGTCCTTAGAGAAGGGACTCTCAAGTCTGTGGCCATCCCCAAGGATGCCTCTGTGGTCGCAAACCAGAACAAACTGTCATGTCGTAAATGACCGACTTTGCCAGTTACTGTGGTTCACACCTATCATCCCAGCTGCTCAGAAGGCTGAGATCTGAGGAGCAAGATTCGAAGCCAGCCTGGGGTAGACAAATCTCTTGGACTCTTGGACCTAATGAAGCACCAAAAAGCCAGATATGGAGCTGTGGTTCAAGTGGTAGAGCACCAGCCTTGAAGCAAAGAAGCTAAGGGATAGCACCCAGGCCCTGAGTTCAAGCCTCAGTATTGGCACACACAAAAAAAGAAAACATCCAACTTCTCCTTTGTCCTCTGTCCCCTGGCTACAAGGACCATCTAACCAGGCCAGGAGAAAGAAAAGCACAGTCATCACACCTCCATCTTTCCAGACAAGAGGCTGGGCCAATACTCTTAGCAAGCTTAGAGGAGGATTAACGCAAAACAAAGGTGACCTTTGATTCACTTCCTCCTTCAAAGTGGCTGTTTCTGGGGACAGAGCTGGCCCCTCTTTGCAGCCCAGCTTGCATGCTGGGGTCTGCAGCCAGCTCCACCTGACAAGCAGGAAAAACCAGACCCAAACCAAAACTGCCCTGAACCAACCAACTTCCATCCTTGTAACAACTCCTCTTGACTCTCAGCTTGGTTTTCTTAAATTAAAAGAAAGCATTTAGGGATGTATTTGGTACACAGATCAAGCAACATGACAGGAAAGAGTACTAGTTGTGCTGGGTGCTGGTGGCTCACGCCTGTTATCCTAGCTACTCAGGAGTCTAAAATCTGAGGATTGTGGTTCAAAGCCAGCCTGGGCAAGAAAGTCTGTGAGACTCATCTCCAATTAGCTACCAAAAAGCCAGAAGTGGAGCTGTGGCTCAAGTGTTAGAACATTAGCCTTGAGCAAAAAGGCCGATGTCCGAAGACCCAAGTTCAAACCCCCAGTACTAGCATGCATACACGCAGAAGCACACACACAGCACTAGTCACTATATAAATAGCAAACCCTGTCCAGGAAGGAATGGCTATGCACACCCAGAAGTTGCAGAGCATAAATCAGAGACTTCCTTCCCAGCGGAGCCCCTGAAGGAGGTGTGGTGACTCTCATGGACCATGCATTTCCCTGGCAGGCTATGCAAACACAATTCAGTTAAATCACCCTGGAAGGCGCTACAGTGGGCTCTTATTTGTTTCAAAAAGGAGTTCCCTTGGGTGCTGACCTCAGGGGCCTGGATGAATCACGGTGGAAGTCGTGAGTGCTGTTTTCTAGGTAGTTCCCGTTCTTGTCCACTCTGACAACACATCAGTCAGTCAAGCCTCTCTCTCCCCTGGGAAGTCACTTCATCACCGAGTGGCTAGCTTTGGCCAAGGCCATCAAGTGACGTGCTCAAGAGCCCATCAGCGATTCGCCACATCCACCCCCTCCTGCTGCAGCTGAGATCACAGAGACTCTGATGAGCAAAGGAACCGCCACCATCTGCCGTGACCCACACTACAAGGGTGCCAGGCACCAGCCTGAGCAAGACATAGCTTAATGCCAGTCCTAAGATGAGGGGCTCTTTTGTTATCGCAGCAGAACCAGGCTTGTCATGGCATGTGAAGACTAGCTATGCTTAGCTTGTCCCCCCCCCCAACTGTGCAGACAGCATGTCTCAAATGCAACGTAAGCATCAACCCCTACAGCCTGCAGGGCCGCA